GAGACCACTCGCTCCGCAATGTATCCGCCCCAAATGACTAATCTAATTGCGCAAGTTTTGTTTCCCTCAAAATGTGCCCAGCAGTCCGTTCCTGCTATGCCTTGCCAACCGGCAACTAGCGAGCCGCAACCCCCTATAGGGAAATTGAACAATACCTTAAGCACGTATCCCCATTAGCTGGTTTTGAAGATTTAGCTATAGCAGTTGAATCAGATCCCACCGCTAATAGGTTAGTTATAGAACTTCTTGACCATGAACAATTGATTGCCCAAGCCCTCCATCTGGAGGATCCAAAGGCGCCAACGCCTGAAATCAAAGCAATGGTCACTAAGCTTTTGTCTCGTGCAGAGATGTTGTCCAACCCTAAGGCGCTTGAAGCAATCCGCGCTGAAGCCGATGGTTTGGTCAAAGCTGGCACTTGAGACCTTGGCTCGGTCCGCGAGAAAGAAGATGTGCGCAAAGAAGCCAAAGCTTCTGGTGTGTCCGTACACTTCGGTCAGCTAATGACCATTGCGTCCATCAAATTCTACGAGCTCGCAGACCACCTTCACAAAATGAAGGGCGCATCGTGTATAAAGGAGACTGCGCAAAGGACGAGCATGGTGCAGCCGCCGTCTACCAAGAACTCGGCGCTAATCCTACCTCCGTCCAAGGGCTCAACGCCTGCTTAGCGTATGGGTCGCTGCCGGGCAACCGCGCGACGGCCGCTGATGCGGTCAAAGCTTACGTTCAAGCACTATTGTCTTCCAAATACAAAACCTGGATTGAGCTTCCCCCGGAGCTCCGCCCTAAGTATTGGAAGCAACAGTTTGTTAAGCCCGTAGTCCTCTTAATTAAAGCCTTATACGGTCATCCTGATGCCGGAGGCCTGTGGGAACAACACCTGAAAGTCATCATCAAGAACCTTGGAGGGCAAGAAGTTCCAGAATACCCAGGAAACTTTTACTTCCCAGATACTAAGTTACTTCTGTCAACTTATGTAGACGATTTAACTTTAGCTGGCCCCGCCGACCAGCATGATGCATTCTGGAGTAAGTTAACTTCTGTGGTAGACTTAAAACCCCCGGAGCCCATCTATAGGATCCTTGGACGCAACCATGTTGTTACCCCACTATCCAAGACCGAAGGTCATGACAAGTGTGCAGCCTTCCAATCCCAAACAGGCATGGTTTTTGATATGGCAAACTACGCTCAGCAGACCGTAGATTTGTATAAATCAATAACTGGTGTCACCAAACTCAAGCATGCCGCCACGCCATTTCCACCTGAGGGTTCCATCACCATTGAAGATGATGAAACTAAAGGGGAACTAGCTCCAAATGCATGTAAGATGTTGATGAAAGCCCTTTGGTTAGGTAGACTTGCACGTCCCGATATCATCAAGCCTATCAATGATCTGGCCACAAAGGTCCAGTCGTGGTCCAGGGGGGATGATAAGAAGGTCCTAAGATTAATCCAGTACATAGCCTCAACCCCACACTATAGGTTGGTAGGTACCATTCAGGACAAGCCTGAAGACCTAGAGCTTAGACTATTCGTCGATGCCGACTTCGCCGGCGATAGGTCAACTGCACGCTCAACCTCTGGTGGCTTTCTGGCTTTATCTGGCCCTAGTTCCTTCTTCCCGCTTGCATGGATCAGCAAGCGCCAAACATCCACTTCTAGATCGACCACGGAAAGCGAGGTTGTTAGTTTAGCCCATTCGCTTTATCAAGAAGGCTTGCCTGCCTTACAGTTATGGGAGCTGTTGCTTGCACGCTCCGTAACCTTAAGGGTCCACGAAGATAACCAAGCAACAATCCTAGTTGTGAAGGAAGGATACAGTCCCAAGCTTCGTCATATAACTAGAACACACAAAGTAAACTTGTCTTGCCTGTCTGAAGTCTTCCGAGATGACTCTGCTGAAATAGAGTACATCCACACCAATGATCAGGCGGCAGACATATTCACCAAGGCATTGCCTCCACACAAATGGGCAGCAGCACTAATCCTTTTAGGAATTCGTACTGACCTCCCCTTAGACCTTAAATCCAAAGCCTAGGTCGCTGTGAACGTCCGTTCACGCGACAGTAGTTACTTTGGATACTGCCAATGCGCAGTGCGTGTGGAACAGGCGAGGGGGGAGTTGAAATATACCGACCCCTGAGCCCCACTATGTACAGCATAGGTAGTATAGGTCTTATGTAGAGCATTGCCATAGCTATGAGTCCAACCGTAATTCAAAGTAGATACATCCGAAATATGTATAGCACAAGCACCACTTACCTAGAAGCGTTAGGTAAGTAGAGGGCTGTAGGTAGAGGTAGGCTCCCTTTTTCCCCTAACCCAAACAACCACCTGGGTCAGGGGATTAACCTGTAGCGTTGCCGACCCTATGGCTCAAGTGCCCGCCAAAAGGGCGCTTGTTTGTTTATGTTTCGTTGCATGGTTTGCCGGATTAGTTTCCCCCTTTTCTTTTGGGTGGCTGGTTCGACCCCCTGTTTGACTAATGAAGACCCTATCATTATCACAAGATTTTCGTGATGTCCAGTATCAATTATCCGAGAATCAAACCTGACAATGGGAAATCCAAAAGTTTGATGAATTGTGTAGACGATTTACTTCTTGGTTATTTCCCCAACCATGTTCCATTGCCATTTTGGTATCCCAGCTCTTTGGGCTTAACCAATGCCAATAATTCTTCGCACATCACCAGGCATCGATCTGACGGTCATGCCTTTTCAATACCTGGCAGATGGTGAAGAAGCGCGGAAGCCCGGGAATAAGTCTCGATGGTTTTGAGCCACCCAAAAGTGCAGGATCTCACCAAGTATGTTATATATATACACATATATAGTATTGTATATAATATATATATATATGTATATTTGATTATGTATATATATATGTATACAAATATACAAATAGATATATATTTATATATATGTCAAACACAGATCAACCATGTCATCATGTTTGGGAGATACTTCACCAGCACGATTGGCATCGTGCAGAGTTGATTTTTTATGGGATTCTCATCCAATCATGGTTTGTCAACAACTACCTGTTGATGTCATATCGGTGTTGTCCTCAACATGGGACACGGCGGCCTACTCCAACTGGGTATACGGAGGTGAATTTCACTGTATATGGATGTATGGATGTATGGATGTATATATATATATATATTTATATAATATTATATATATATGTGTGTGTTATGGTGTTTATTATCAGAGGATACACCAAATTGGGTCCTCCCTTGTTAAAACTGGTTTGCACCAGGTGTGTCTCCTGAAATTCGGGTGCATCTTGCAAGTGGCTGTCTCCCTGGAAGGTTGATGTCATAATATGTCATGCAGTCATGCACCTATCTACATTTAAGCGTCAACTATCTAAACCCTGGCTGTAAAATACCTGACTGTTATCTTGGAAGAGTCCGGCTCTTCTGCATGATGTGCTGGATAAAAAATGGTAAATTCTTGGCACCGCTATGTGGCGAATCGGTTGATCTTCAATGGTCTCCAGTGAATTTTGCCCGTTGCAGCTAGGATTTTGTTGGTTTACTTTAGGTCAAACAGACCAACATACTAAAACGATTGGGGACCCCAAAAGAATCAGATGGCGATTTCATCGTCAATCATTTTGGTCATCCATAAAGTCTCATGATTCTTGGTTTCTACAACAGGATCCCCAAGTCTTCGGCCGGCAAATGGATTTTGGTTTCCCAATACACAGGACCATGACCCTTTGGGTGGGGTCAGTGACCATGCAAATCAAAAGAGGAACTTTGGATGATTTTGAAATCACTCTCAGGCTTCACCCCATCCATGTGATCATCCTGGGAACCATTTGCATAGGTCTTCATTTAAGACCTTGGGCCAATTTTCAGTCCTACAAATGGCCAGAAAGTACGTTAATCATCTTTAATCTAAAAAACTAAGAATTTCTATATAAACAAAACCAAAACCAAAACAAATCTAAAAATGTTCTGTGCCTCCTCCCGGACTTCCATGGATTTCCATAGTTTTCTATTGTTTCTTTCACAAAGAGGGCATTAAATGAGGACCATATTAAATGGATTCTATGAGACCATGAGTTAATCCCCACTTTGTGGGGGATCATCCCATAAATCCTTCATGGATGACCATGTTTGCAGAGTCCAGAAGTTTTAGGATATATCCCACCTGTATATATCATCATAAATATGTATCTGGTTGGTGGTTTGGAACACTTGGATTATTTTCCCCAGTAGCTGGGATGATGATCCAATCTGACTAATGTTTTTCAGAGGGGTTGAAACCACCAACCAGCTATATAATTATGTGTATACATATATATATATAGTGAGATTGATTGAGTATAATTTGCAGAAGGTTCCTAGCCAGGGTAGGTCTCCTTATATGGACTATCCCCTTCATATGGCGTCAAGGCAGCCCTTATCTGTCGCACCCGATTCCGTCCCGTCGAGCTGCGATCCCAGGTTTGATACTGGAAGCTGCGCAGGATGTCCTCAGCGCCAAGGGCCAATGTAGTACGGAAGATATGATGATGAAAACATATGGAATATATGGGAAAATGATGAAAAGAAGATATTTGGATACAATTTTAGGAACAACTTTAGGAACATATAGAAACATGATGAAAGCATGAGGTATAGGCGAGATGATACCTCGATTTCCCTAGGTGATGGCTATTTTTAATGGGAAAAGGGATGATGAGAATAAATCATCACATCTTGGGGGTACCCAATTTCAAGACAAACCTTCCATCTGAAAGATTGATCCGTGACCGTGCATCCTGCGCGCCACAAAAGATATGTTAGAAGACCGAAAAGATGTCGAGCCATGTCTTATGACTAATGGCTCCAGCTTGGTGAAGACCATCATGCAGCAGGGTAGGGATGGATTTTCATTGGGCACCTAGAGAACCCTAGAATGATTCAACATGTTGCTAATGCTATCCAAGCATGTGTTAGTGGAACAACATGCACCAACCAAGTCAATATCATCGACCTTGCCATGGTGAGGGAATCATTTTACCACGACGTTCTGCTGCAGTGGATCCCTCAGGACAGTGACGGCCTTTTGCTCAACCGCTGCGATAAGGCATCTCGCATATGCCTTTCTGCTGCAAGCAAGGCGTTAAGGTCCAGTTTCGGACATTGGCTCGTGACGCAGTACACAGACTCCATTTCGAGCTTGGAGGAGTGTGGATTCCTCTGCTGCAAGCTGTTCGTCCACCATGGGGGGCTAGACACCAAGATTACTATGGCCAAAGCTCTCCCCGGGTTCGGGTTCGGAGGCCTGCTCTGGCGAGAGGACCTGAGCATGTACCCTTTGGACATCATCGCGGCTGCTGACAGGTATCAGATAAACCATGTCTTTTACCACTTGGCCGAGCACTTCCCATGCTTCATGGGCTCCGTGTTTGCCGAACTGTTCAGCCGCCAGGGTGGAAAAGATGGCCCCCTGCCAGAGAAGCCTGTGCAGGAGCTGCTTTTAAAAGCCATGGCGACATTGGAAACCGTGCTTACTAAATGGCAGACAGATGTTGGAAGGGATTACTACTGGAGGCTTCGAAGAGTAAATGAGCTCGTGGCCAACATGATTTGTTCTATCCCGCCCGCGGAGGCGCTGAGATGTGGAATCGCGTCTTGGTTTGTGAAGCTGACGAAACGGAACATCCTGGATTCGACCACTTCGTCCACAGCAACATTCCTGAAGATACTGAGAGATAGAGACAACCCTGACGCGCTGTTTGTTGAGTTTATGAACATTTTGTGTGCAACAAGCCATTGTGGCCATGCCCCAGAAGCAGTGGTGGTGATGTTTGAGGCATGCCTGCAAGTCTTGGAAGATGATACAAATCTTGGCTCTTCGACTGACTGTGGTGTGCAATTGTGTCAGGCGCTTTCGATCCTGGCAAAAGTGAAATCCCTTTGGGGGGGGCCGGACTCCCAGAAAATCAGAGAATTTCATTTGAAGCAGATCTTGGACAAGGCCTTTGAGCGTCACAAGGCCTTGTTTACAGACGGTGATTCCTCAGTTGCGGATGTCCTCGAGCAGATCTGCGATGGGCGACACCTCCAGTTCTATCCTCAGAGCTTCACGCACGAGGAGCAGCGGTTGATCAGTCAGCTGGAGACCAGGCTCTTCGATGCGGGGGCTGCCAAGCTAGGTCGCTCTATGCGATGGGATTTCATAGAACATGCAGCGTGGAATTCCATTTTTCTGAAAGGTTTTTTGAGGGCAAAGACGTACCACTTCTATTTGACTTATGGGTGTGGACCTGGAGAACGCCAAGAAGAGATCGAGGCGTGCAGAATGAAATGGGTCCGCCAATGGCTCAGAGGAGTTATCACGGTCTTGCGTCAAGATTCCATTCCTGTATATTCAGGTCGGGTAGAGGTCAAAACTAGTAATAGAAAACCATGTTTCAAATTCGTTGCGCATTTGGTAATACTTGGTCATTTTATGTCATTTTGGGATAGTCACCAGCAGCCAGCAGGGTGAAATGACCCCAGCCAGGTCGTGCCAACCCTGCTGCCAACTACGCAACTCTTTCAGATGCAGATATTGAAGAGATCCAGTCTGTATGCAGTGCCAACCCATTTTTGAAGGAGATCTTGGAAGAGTTTGTGGATGACCTTCTTGAGCTTCGGCAAGAAGCCCCATGAGCAGATGGCTCTAGTTTTACGTGCCGTCCAACAATGGAACCTCTATTCAAGGGGTTTGCGGCTGCCTGCGTGTTTTGGCAACTCTTGGCCCTTCAACAGGAGGGCAACTCTTACTTGGAACGCAGCAAAAAATCCTTGACTTCTTGGTCTGGTGTGATGGGACAGTGGCCCATGGGAAGTTAAGGGGCCGAGGCAGCACAGTTGATTTGGGATGCATCAAATTTAAACTGGCATCGGTATACACAACGTATGTTCGGTTGTGTAGGTGGTTCATATATATTTACATTCATAATTATACATATTATACAGTTAATTTACATGGATTAAATAGTGTTTTCTACCTGTATGTGTGGCACATCTTTTAACATCTTTTAACCAAGAACTCTATGAGATTGTTTCCGGTCTCATCGTGCCCGTCCACCGGTTCAACCTTTGGTCACCCAGGGGCCCTGTCAACTTGTGGCCCAAACGCCCTGTTTGGTGCAGGAGCTCATGGGGTTCCCCCTGGAGAAGATCCAGACAGTCGTTGGCCCATGGTCCGGGTGGAAATATTTTCGTGGTTGAAGCTAAGAGGACATCCTTATGTCCCAAATGTTCGGACATCCTTATGTCCCAAAAAAACACCAGGAGCATCGCTCTGGACTGAGAGTCAAAGCCAGTGGCATGATAAGTTGTATATATTGTATAGACTTGACATGATACGACTATACAATGAAGAAGCTGTTGAAACACCAACAATCATGGGGTCAATAAGGTAGATGGTTTGTGGTCTCAAACATTGTTCACAGTGTCCCATCATGTCCCATCTATGTTATTGACTATCATCATGTCCCATCATGTCCCATCATGTCCCAGGGGAAAGAAATCAGAGAACAAAAAACATTGGACTTCTGCCAAATTCCATAACTTTCCTGAATTTCATGTCAACATGTCATCAACTTCAAGGGACACAGGTGTCAACCAGCCAACCCTGTTGGCTCAGGTCATTCCCGAAATCCACCGAGCTCAGGCCGTGTTACGCTGGCGCAAACCAACATAGATGTGGAAAACCAATTGGGAACGGATTGAACTGGGATGTGATAAAAGGATACTAAAGGCGCATATTGTGTGGATGCAAATGGATTTTGGTTTCACTCTGAAGCCGTGGCTGCTTTCCCAATGCACAGGACCATGACCTTTCCGACCGTGCCTATGAGAGAGGCCATGGTGGTGGGGGTCAGTGACCTTGAAAAATCCTGGTTTACCATTGTAAAACTGAAGAGGCAAAGCTCCAAGATTGGAGGCTGCTAGTTCACCGCCCTCTTCTGGTGAACTTTGGATGATTTAAGGGTTTGTTTGACCCAAAGCTTGACTTGAATAACTTGAGTATAATTTTGGCATTCCATTTGGGGTAACTACTTTTAAGGTATCCGGGTAACCAAAGCTATGACTTGCCAAGCCACAGAAATGTTGCGGCAGGCAGACAGAAATGCCTTACCTGGCCATGGTCCAGATGCAAATGCAGGAGCCCGGCGTCAACAAGGTATGTTTCGGGACTTCAAACTGGGACATTTTCCTTCAACAGGATACACATTGGGGGAATTTCCATCAATTTGAACGGCAAGTCTAGTACTGTAGGTCATTAGAGTCAGAGATTCAGATTGAAAGGAGCCGCCCGGGAAGGTTGATATCACGCCTGCATATTCAGATGTTGCTGTCCAATCCCCAATCATGATGTGAAAGGGTGGATCTCACATGATACAGGTGTTGGTTGTTCAGAATTTGAATCCCACTGCTTAGTTGTGTGTTTGCCTGTTGTACTGTGAAACTTGTCGCCAGATTGTCGTGATATCAATGATACGGACGTCTCCAAACTCCAAACCAACAAAGTTATTCTGAAATGAATCTAGAATAGTAGGGATCATTTTTCATTCATCAGTTTTTTTTACGTAATAATTAGTAGGGATGCCCAAAAAGATCACGAGGGGCACGGCACGATCGCTGATCGCTGCCAAGATTTCGATGTTGAAGATTCTTTTGGTGCTGAACTTGTCAGGGGATACCCCAAAAAATGGGACACAGGTGTAACAATGTGCAACAATGTGCAACTCGATCCAAGACCCCAACGTTCCGGGATCGGCCCCGACAGGAGCATGATTCTGGAGAGTCAGAAGCTGAGTCAAATGAATCCAGGGGTGGTGTCTGGATTTCGTGGATTTTCAAAAAGGGTGTCCATCTGCATGCCCGAAATTGGGTGGTGAGTATCCACCCAATGGCCCCCTTAAAATTGATTTCTTTGACGGCGGAATCCAAAACTGTCGTCAGTGCTGCGGCTGCCAAGCCATTGAAGAGGAGAACAATTTCATTTTTAGATGTATGCATTTGTTTAATTTTGTTTAATGTGTTTTTTTCCTGCATTGCGGGCCAGAATCGCCGAATTCAGAAGGTCTTTGGAGCCATCATGTTCTCTGAAAACGATCGCAAACCCCAAAAACGGCTGGGTTTCCTTCCGCAACACACACCCGTCACCTATTCTTTTCCGATTTGTCTGATTCTGTTCAGTGGATGATTGGGTATTTTGATGTATTTTACACAATCCCATATAGTTCAAGTTTTGTCAAACAATTTTTGAGATCACTTTCACCCCATCCAGGCCACCATGAGTTTATCCCCACTCTTGGAGGATCATCCCATGAATCCTAAGTCTTAAATGGACCGTGGCTATGGTTGCAAAGTTCCAGAATCCTAGGATATAATATTATAATATATATTATATATATAATTTAATAATATAGAATATAATATTATTAATATAGACATCCTATTGAAACTAATGCTATATAATGCATTTACAATAATATTTTTTACAATTACTGTATAATGATATTGATTGATATGGAATTAACTATACTACACAGAAGTGCTTCCTAGCCAGGGTAAATCCCTTTATACTATATATTCGGACTATCCCTTTCATATGTGGTTTCAAGGCGTTGATATGAAGTAAATGGCATGATCTTCCATGTATCCCGGTTCCACACCAAAAGGTCACGCTAGCTTTAAACGAAGCAATAAACAGAGTTTGATCCTGGCTACGCATGATGGGTCCTCACAACGTTAAGGGTTGTGTTAGAAGAGAAAATTATGACAAACCATCAAATATGGGGGGTACCCAATTTCTGGACAAACCCTCAATCTGAAAAGTTGATCAATTACCTTTCATGAGAGCAAGGAATTGTGTTGGAAGACCGAAGTGATGTTGAGCCAGTGAATTGGCTTCTGTGACTAATGGCTCCAGCCTTGTTGAAGATGTCGACCATGTTGCTGAACAGCTGAAGTTCAGTGCCATCGGGGAAATGATTTATGCATATTTATGCTGCGTACTGGGTACATGTTTGATTTTCGATGGTATCCATGCATGAAAAGGGAACATGTTAGTGCAACAACCAAGTCAATACATGAGACACACTGGATGATGCACTGTAAGACTTCATCGACCTTGCCATGGTGAGGGAATCATTTTACCACGACGTTCTGCTGCAGTGGATCCCTCAGGACAGTGACGGCCTTTTGCTCAACCGCTGCGATAAGGCATCTCGCATATGCCTTTCTGCTGCAAGCAGGGCGTTAAGGTCCAGTTTCGGACATTGGCTCGTGACGCAGTATGCAGATTCCATCTCGCAGTTGGAGGAGTGTGGATTCCTCTACTGCAAGCTGTTCGCCCACCATGGGGGGCTAGACGCCAAGATTACTCTGGCCAAAGCTTTCCCTGGGTTCGGGTTCTGCGGCCTGTTGTGGCGCGGAGAGCTGAGCATGTGCCCTTTGGACATCATCACGGGTGCTGACAAATATGAGGTGAAAGACCTCTTCTACCGCTTGCTGGAGCATTTTCCATGCTTTATGGGCTCCGTACTGGCGGAGCTGTTCAGCCGCCTGCAAGGTGGGAAAGACGGCGCCCAACCAGAGAAGCCTACGCAGGAGCCACTTGCGAAAGCCTTGGCGACATTGGAAACCGTGCTTGCTAAATGGCAGACAGATGTCAGAGAAAATTACCCGTATAGGTTTCGAAGACCAAATGAGCTTGTGGCCAACATGATTTGTTCAATCCCTCCTGCCGAGGCGCTGAGATGTGGATTCGCACCTTGGTTTGTTAAGCTGACCAAAGGGAGCATCCTCCATTCAGCCGCTTCCTCGACGGCTGTTTTTCTGAAGATACAAGAGGATTGCAGCAGTCGTGAAGCGCTGTGTGTAGAGTTTATGAACATTTTGTGCGGAGTAAGCCATTGCGGTCATTGTCCACAGGCAGTGGTATTGATGTTTCAGGCTTGCTTGCGAGTGGTGGAAGATGATAACTTTAACCTTGGTCCTTCCGCTGAATACGGTGTGCAGTTGTGCCAGGCGCTTTCAATCCTGGCCAAAGCCAAGTCTGTCTGGAGGGGGCCACACTCCAAGAGAACAAGGGAAATTCATCTGCGGCAGCTCTTGGACAAGGCCTTTGAGCGTCACAAGGCCATGCTTGCAAACAACGAATCCGAAGCCCCGGATGTTTTGGAGGAGACCTGCAAAGGGCGGCACCTCCGGTACTATCCTGCACACAGCTTCACGCAGGAAGAGCAGCGGTGGATCAGCCACTTCGAAGCCAGAATCTTCGATTTGGCGGCTCCCAAGGTTGGTTGCTCTATGCGATGGGCCGGAGAGAACGCAGCATGGAATTCCACTTTTCTGAAAGGCTTTTTGAGGGCAAAGACGCAGCGCTTCGATGCTATTTACGGGCCTGTACAACATGCACAAACCCAAGAAGAGATCGAGGCTTGCAGAAAGAAATGGGTTCGCCAATGGCTCACAGGAGTCGTCACCGTTTTACAGCAACATTCGATTCCAGTTTATCCAGGTCGGGTATGTGTCAAAACTAGTAGCCCTGAAATGCCCTTAAGCTGGATATTTGGGTCATTGTGATCATGAAAAATTCTTGCAATGTTTGTTGATTTGGTTTTAGATTTTTTTGGGGATGTTACCCAGGTGCCAGCATGGTGAGTTGACCCCCAGGTCCTACCGAGTTTGATGATGACTACGCCACTTTTTCAGATGCAGACCTTGAGGAGATCCAGTCTGTATGCAGTGCGAACCCATTTTTGAACGAGACCTTGGAAGAGTTTGTAGATGCTCTTCTTGAACTTCGACAAGAAGCCCCATGAGCAGCAGATGGTTTGAATTCTCTAGGCCCTTCAAACATGGTCTGCAGTTCGTGGTGTGGCCACTCTTGGCCCTTCAACGAGAGGGCAACTCCTGGAGCCAAAATTCTGTGACCTCTTGGTTTGGTGCGATGGGACATGATGGGACGGTGGTCCCATGGAAAGTTGATGCGTTTTTTCAAACTGGCATAGTATGGTTTGAATTTTAGCAGTATCTGGGCCATTATACTTCAACAAATTTCAACAACAATTTATGGTATGTTATGGTTAAAGTGTTTGTTACGCCGCCAAATCAGCCAAGCATAGGCCCTGAATCCAAGCAGTGAATTTTCGAAGGTGAGATACCGTTGGGGTCCATTACCCATTTTGATTATGTTTATCGTTATTGTTTTCTGATTATATCATTATCATCATGTTACCATGGAGCGTGGCATAGCACTATAGTACCTTAGTACCAGCCGGACACTAGGATGAGACACTGCGTCATGATGGTAGTGTACCAGAATGGTTCATGCTTTGTTGCTTTGATAATCTCAATTTGAGGAGATATTCATAGAGCCAATCACATGAGTTTGAATGTATCTACGTTTCTACTGACAAAGGGATTGCTCCCCCCATTTCCTCCATGCTGCTCAACAGTTAAAACCATCTTGATGGATTGTTGGATGGATCTGTCAAATTGAAAATCCCTACCACATCTGAGCCAATCACGCCAATTGTTCATCCGGCCTTTACCAGTCCCATTGGATTGCATGGACTTTTTTGTGTTTCAATGTTGGACCATGCAGCATTTACAGTGCCTTCACCTGGCCTCCCGAATTTTCAAGCCCCAGCTGCCATCCCAACCTCCAAAACGCACACTAGAGGCCACGACCAGAAGACTCTTGAAAGGACGAGCAACGCTTGTAACGCAACTGGGTCTCCTGGTTTGTCTTGGGCATCTTCAATCCTTCTTTGCCTATG